TTAACAGTTGATAGAGAATCATTTTTCAATAAGAAAAGTTCCTATAAACGTAGGTCTTAGAACGCTTCGTTTGTGAGATATAGGGTGTTGAAAACAAACTTTTTTTAAGAATTTTTCTTAATATCTCTAAAAGACCAACATAATATTGAACTGAAATTTGGTATTAATAACACATTAGTTATGGTGAATAAAATAAAGATATCTGTTATCCATTTCACCCACCAGTGACGTGCCTGAGGTGGGTAATTGCCCCCTTTAAAAAAATAATTCGTACGCCCGTGAATTTTTCAGGAAAATAACATCATTTCTAAATTTTTTAATCAATTCTGAACAAAACAGATCTCTCCATTTTTTATAAAATTAACGGTTTTTGGTTAAATTCATTTGGCATTAAACTGTTCCAACGATATTGGTACCTAATACATTTGTGAATTAATAAGAAAAATATGATGTGCACTGAAAATCAACAAAAACGATTGAATTAATAATAATAATGAGAAGAAAAATTTCTGTAAACATAGGTCTTAAAACGCTTCTTTTGTGATACAGGGTATAGAAAACAAACATTTTTAAAAAATTTTCTTAATATCTCTAAAAGAGCTACAAATATTAAACTGAAATTTGGCATGAAAAAACAAACTCAGAACTTAAAAAAAGAACTAATTGACACACACGTTACACAATGTTTGCGTTCTTATGTCAGCGTTATCACATTTAATAGTTTTTTTGATTTTCAGGGTACATCATATTTTTCTTATTACACATGTATTACCAATATCGTTGGAACAGTTTCATGCCAAATGAATTTAACCAAAAACCGTTCATTTTATAAAAAATTGAAAGAGAGCTGTTTTGTTCAGCATTGATTAAAAAATTTAGAAATGATGTTATTTTCCAGAAAAATCCACTTGTTTTTTTAAAGGGGGCAGTAACCCACCTCAGGCACGTCACTGGTGGGTGAAATGGATAACAGATATCTTTATTTTATTCACCATAACTAATATGTTATTAATACCGAATTTCAGTTCAATATTATGTTGGTCTCTTAGAGATATTAAGAAAAATTCTTAAAAAAATTTGTTTTCAACACCCTATATCTCACAAACGAAGCGTTCTAAGACCTACGTTTAAAGGAACTTTTCTTATTAAACAATGATTCTCAATCAACTGTTAAAATCCTACTACAAAAAACTGGCTCACCCTGTATGTACACCACAAGATCAGCGGTTATTAAAATATTAACAAACTTTTACTATTATTTTTTTTTGTGATACGCACTATTTTAGCTTTAGCTATAACTCCGCTAGGATGCCAAATACTCTGGTTTCAATCGAAATTCCAGTGGCGTCTAGCAGTCCCAAATCAGGTAACCTAACCGGCTAATCTAACAGTCCCTCTGTTTATTCCGCCTGGTTTCTGGAGTAAGTCCTGATTTAATTCGAGTGGATGAGACGCGATCATCTGCCTACTAATTCAGACGATTTACGACGAAGATTTATCGCCCAGCCAGATATGAAATCTGACGGGATAGTCCAATTACCCCGATCAATTAGACGCGATCTTGTCTGGAATTGCAGTTGGATTATTTTCCATGCGATTACCCATCCTGCTAATCTCTATCAATATTCATTACTGTGGGTGGTTGTATATTAGTTGTGCAACCCCATGCGGAACGTGACGGTTCTGTCCTTGATGTATATATTGTATGTGGGCACGGAGATTAGTAAAACAGTGCCATGACGAATGGTTTACATGGGCGCCGAATCCAAAGGGATTCGGGTTATCGAGCACTAACAGTGATTTTTCTTTCAAATGTATCATCTTTATTTGTAGAAAGTGTAGGGTTCAATGTCTGTGAATAATATATGTATTGTCTGCATAAAATTTAGAACTTAAACAACAACAAAACGTTTATGTTTGGAAAATCTTTTTGTTATTAATGGATTCCAGAAACTATAAGCAAACATTTAGATTATTTTGCTCTTTAAAATAATGATACAAGTTGTTATGACACTTTATTGAAAACTCAAAATTGGCGGAGGTGCTTAGATACAAAGTATTTTTTAAAGTTATTATTAAACATTAATTTTCTTTTTCAATTAGACGATTTTTTTACACATTTGTATATATTATTGATAACACCAGACTACAAAATATATCATAACTTTTTTATTTCCAGTTTAAAAAAAATCAAAAAGATTTCAATATTTGAGATTATTAAAAAATCTTACAAAAAGGTTCTCTTCTAAGTTGAACGCGCATCAGCGTGTCAAGCGGAGCAAAAATTTTCTGTAAAAAAAGGGGGTCAATCCTTACGAACTATTTTTCATATTGAAGTAAAAGTATTCAACTACAACCTGTGTAAATTTCAGATCCTAATGAGGTCGTAGCGATTTTTTGAAATAAAAAAAAAAATCTGGGCTCAGGATATTTTTTTTAATTCGTGAAAATATTGTCAACTTTCAAATGGCAATGATGCCATTCCGATTAAATTTCAACGATAAGAAAAAGATCTACAAAGGAGGTCAAAGTTTCGGTAGATTTTTCGCACATTTCCAATTATTTTGTAATACGCGCACAATTTGCACAAGAAAGTACAACTATTAGAGATAATTTTAAGCCCAAGATGGGTCACGTAATTGCATTACTGTATGATTTATTGAAACTTGAAAAAAATGTATTTTGCAAAAACTATCAGATACTTTTCAGTTTTACAAAAATGCACTTATTCTACTTTTTAAGGACTAAATATTCTGAAAGTTTCGTAGAGAAATTTTTTTTTCATTTTAAAGATATGGAAGTTTTAAAAAAATGCGATTTTTAGCCGGTTTTTTTGCAATAACTAATACATTTGTTTATATGACATCGGGCCGGGCTCAAAATTTTTGTTATAAAAAGTTCTACAACTTTTGTCTAAAACATTTTTTTCTAAAATGTTTAGTTTTTTTTTAAATAAAAAAACTGTTTTTCGCGAACTTTGGACGCCATTTTGAAATAACATTCAGCTGGGGTAAACTAAATTGATTCAGTTCTAAGGAATTTTTCCTAATTTTTACGTGTCTTTTTTACTGAGCTAATAGACCAGGAAAATTAGCGAAAAAAAAAAAGAGAAACTCGAAAAAATTCCTATCCGCGATATTATTGTAAAATTGTCTAAGGGAACATAATACAAGACATCTCTCAATTCGAGAGTCAAAAAATTTTAATTGCTAACTTTTCTATTTAAACAAATACCTAAGTGAGGAAAACAGTTTTTTCACTTTGCAGGGAAAACCATCAATTTTAGGGAATTTCAATTTCGCAATTATTTTACTATTATTAAATAAATAAATGAAGCTATCGTTCATTTAAAAAGTTATTTTTTTTACATATTATGCTAAAGTAAACTTATTTTTTCAATATTTTGTTAGCTATTTAATTACGATTTAAATGTAAAAATGAAGTAACAATTCACAAATTTATTTTCAAATTATTATTTCTCATAAAAATAGAAAAAATTTTAAATTGTATTACATTGCATTATATCTATTATTGAAAATGGCTGTGATTAATATTTTTTTAAGTAATTTTGATTATGTTGCAAACATTTTTTTTTATAAAATTAGTAATAAATATAATAAAAAAACTTTATATATTAAAACATAACGTATTCATGCTACTTCGAAAGTTTGACTAACCAATTCTTTCAAAAGCGCATGCTTAGAAATAGACATAGATATTCCGAAATTGAAATTTTAATTAATATTTCGTTTAACAATAATTTTTGTGACATTTTTGTAAATTAAACAAATTTAATTATAAAAGATGCATTTTTTCTGGGGTTCAGGGCTATTCTACGAATTCGTAAATATGCCCATTGTTATTTTTTCGTCGATCTACCCCAGCTAAAAAAAAAGAAGTTTCTACGATGAATAGAACCCGAGATATTGCAAAATTTTACAGCGCGCATCAATTTGAACTTTTCTCGCTCGCGCGACTCGCTTGGACGAGCTTCCCCCACCACCATGCCGGACAGTTTACTTAGCAAGTACCTTCTCTTTAAAGGGCCCGTGAGTGATTAATTTTCCACATTTTTGAATGCAATTCTCGGGAAATCGTAGTTTACTTCGTAAACTTTATTTTGCGAAAAATTCAAGTTTTAATGTTTATAAACAATTGCGCTACGATTAAAAAAAAATCTTATCTTGGTTCCTGTTGGTCGTAGAGGGTGTTTTTTTATAATTTGTATTTTTTTGCCAACTTTGAATCTATTTTCGGTGAGGTAGCATAAATAGCAATAATTTTATTCAAATTGTTTATAAGCGAAAAACGCACGTTTTTTTAATGCACAATTTCAGATTGTTAATGTCAAAAAAACGGTGATATTTTTTAATTAGTCGCTTAATTACGTCTTTAAGATTACAATGACGCTTTCAGAATCATGTTTGGTTGAAAATTAACGCCTGTACAGAGGCTTAAAGTTCATAACTTTTGGAGCCTCCGTTATAAACAATTACAAGTCTCATTTTGTAGATAATTTTACTCCCTATAAGCTGTCTGTGAGTCACTTTTCGCTAAAATTGATGGTTTTCCCTGCAAAGTTAAAAAACTGTTTTCCTCACTTATTTGTTTAAATAGAAAAGTTAGCTAATAAAAGTTTTTGACTCACGAGATGAGAGATGTCTTGTATTATGTTCCTTTAGACAATTTTACAATAATCTCGCGGATAGGATTTTTTTCGAGTAAAAATTTTATTTTAAAAATCTAATTCGATTGGACTAAGGTCCCACTTAAGAAATTGACATGAGATTGCATTACAATCTATTGAAATGCGTAAAAAATTAGCTGCCCCTCAAGCAATATAAGAAAATGCAAATTTTCTCACACGCCAGACTGTTTTTTGTACCGTTAACCCCGTTGCATATGCAAATAGTGTTTTGTTTCGAGGCAAATCCCGTGTTTCCATCAAGATAATTTGTTTCAGTGTTTTTTTTTCCTATTTACCGAATCATTTTTTCCAGATACTGTTTACTACAAGTGCGAGGACGATGGTACGTGGTATTTCCACGAACCTTTCAACAAAACGTGGGTGAATTACACCACTTGCGTAAACACGGAGGATTTGTCGGTGAGTATACAATAATTTTATAACGCGAATCCACGTGTTTATTTCTATGGAATTATTTTCTGGTCATTCGTTCACAGAAATGTGTAAACGCTTTTTTTAAATTACATTAAAAATGCCGTTAAAGCTTACAGACGATTCCTTTTTTTATTTTCAGTTTCGTACAATCGTGATAATCATCCATTCAGTGGGATACAGCATCTCCTTAGTGGCTTTGCTCATATCTTTGGCTCTGCTGTTCTACTTCAAGTAAGTAAAAAAAAATAAATCTAAAATCAAGCAAAATATTTTGAAGCTTTCGAGTGGTTTTTGAGGTATGTATTTCGAAGTTTTGAGGGGTCCAAAAGCGGTCAAAATGGTAAATTTATATGAAAAGAAAGACTAGGAGCAGCGTCGCGAACTTTTTACTTTAATTTCGTCGATTACGATATGGAAATGTTTTGGGGAGAGTTTCCGACGCCGCCAACTTTACTAATTTAAGTTTTAATATGACACACATTTAGCAATCAGCTAGTTAATCTAAGTATGTCTCGACTTGGCAAGGACTACAGTCAGATGAGATTGTTGAGATAGACGAAGTTTCTCCGGACAAAGTCTCGTATCTCTTAAGAAATGGCGAATTTATGTGCCTCGGAAAATGGATAACCTGGAAGCAAGATCTGTGAGTAAAGAGCCGTAATTCAGGGAAAGTTACTATACTCTGTTTGATGACGACGAACGAATTAAGTAATTACGAGCCAAATTCTATTACTTGCAACTTCTGTTGTTGCTAACCTTTTCTAAAAAACTCAGTTTATTGGTGAAAAACTGAAGGTCAGTGTATGCTAATCAAAGCTAGTTTGAAATAAAATAACGTAAATCACTCTACAATAGACGAGAAGAAAAGGACACCCCTGCACGCTGGAAGCGCAAATAACCACACTGACCTTGATCTAACTACTACATTAGAAGCAGTTGATCATTTGGTTAGGTGAGACGATCACAATGATGTGTCGCAAATGACAATCATCGTCCTGAACTTTGGCCACCCTGTACAGGTCTTCTCTGGCCGTAAATTGAAGCCAGAGTGTCAATTCGGCAGGGGTGGAAAACCTCACGAAACAACAAGCTTATAACGCCCCGATTTCTCAGCAGCGACGAAGGCAAACTTTTTCGCTTTAAGTTTGTAAACTTTTAAACGCCCGAATCGGAGTTATTCTAGACATATTTGTCATGGCTCCTCGAGACTAAAAGCTCTTGCCGAGGGGGAAGGCATTAAGAGATATATTTGTGTTTGGGATTTAAGGGAGGTTTTAAAAATAATTTATTTGTTGTTGTGCGTACTTCGAATATTCCAAGAAATAAAAGCTCTTAAGGTTTTAATTTTAATAATAATATGCCGTCGATTCTAGATTGATTGAATAAATCATGTATGCAATGTGACGTTTTCACGAAATAATTCCAATTATATGCCACTGTTTGTACGTTAATTTATGTGATTATTTTTAACCGGCTTTGGCGTTTGTTATAATTAGCATACAATTTATACACCGCTGTTTATATTAATTAACGCGTCAACATTTATTATTATGACCTGTAATGGGTATAATTTGAGTACAATTTGGGATAGTAACGTATACATTATTGTATTGTGAATAATCGCATCTGCCGTACGGATTGGAATAATTAATTTTGTCACTGGAAATTGCAGAAAGCAGATATTGATGTGATGATTTGTTTATAAAATCCCCATTAAAAAGGTCGTTTATAATATTTTTAAGCTTTTTATTTGCACGAAACGATCGAAAATCAAAAAATTAAATATTAATTAAGGGGCAGTATACAGTAATATTTCACAAGGCATTTTTTATACAGGATGGCCAAATGAAAACGAAACAGAGCCATTTTCAGAAATTTCGTCAAGATTGTAGAAAAACGCTCAGACCCGTCGATTTTAGATTAAAGGGGGACATTCTTTGCTGGTATTTTTGACTTCTCCATTTTCACCCCCAAGCAAGGGTAAGAATCACCCCAAAATATTTAAATGGCATTGGGGGTTGAGTAATATTTCTTTTGAAAGCTCTTACAATTCTCTTTGCAACAGACTTTAAATTTTATAATTCCGCCCAATACTTTGAAAAAAATTTACATTTTAAAATTTAAATTATGTTTAGTTGCTTACTTACTACTTATTTGATTAAATGTTCAAACTGATGACCGCCCGCTTCCATACAAGAATAAAGATTTTGTTCGAAACGTTCGCGCACATTCCGAAGCATTTCCTGAGTGATTCGACGGCATTCGTCGACGATTCTTTGACGTAAATCTTCCAGCGACGTTGGCAGTGTTTTATAGATTTTACTTTTTAGGTATCCCCACAAAAAGAAATCAAGGGGCGATAAATCCGGTGATCGTGGAGGCCACTCAATGCTGCCTCTTTTCCCAATCCAATTCCGTAGAAAACGTTGGTCCAAAAACTGACGGATAATTAACGCATAATGTTGAAAAATGAAATGATCTTCATCATACTCTGGAACATTTTCAATAATATCAGTCAAAGCAGGGTTAATAGCGTCTTCCAGTAATTGCAAATACATTTGGCCAGTCAAATTGCCAGGTAGAAAAAAACGACCCACCAGCCGGTCACCGAAAATTCCAGCCCATACATTTAATTTTTCCGGTTGCTGTGTATGCACCTCGTGAAAAACTCTTGGCTTTGAATCGGGCCAATAGCGGCAATTGTGACGATTTACCGTCATCAGAAAAACATTTGTAAAAAGGAACTGTGGATCGTTCCCTGCTCGCTCACTCATTATTTCGCAAAATTGCAAACGGCGGTCATAATCATCCTCATGAAGTTCCTGGACTAAATGTATTTTGTATGGATGGAATTTATTCTTCTTCAAAATGGTTTGTATGCTAGTTCGATTGATCCCAGACACAGATGCCGGCTGCCTCGTATACTTAATATAGGATCAAGATGAACTTGTCCCAAAACTGCAACTTCCTAGCTTCAGTAACTATAGGTTTTTCAATTTCTCGTTTTTTATTGGCTGTTCCCTGCCTCTTGAAATTTTTTTACTAACTCTATAACATACTTCCTCCTGACATGTCGATCTTGATGTTGTTCATTAAATAGCTGAGCTGTTCTAATCGCACATTTATTGTTCATAAAGTAAAGCGAAATGATAGTTACCCTTTCCGCAATGGAATAAACCATGTGTTTAATTTTCAAAAACACAATTAAATAAACTACCAACCAACGCTTCCAAATAATACTAGAAAATAATTTGGAATCCACTAATTTTACGTTCATTTTGTGTGTATAGCATTCATTTCTGTTTTTTACAATTATGTTTTTTTTTACGAAAGTGATAACAAATCGCCAATAACCAATGTAATGCAAGAAATACTAAATTTATACCATTGGCGTACTTAACTCGAATGACTGACATTTTTACCGTTAGTAATTGTTTGTACATAAGTTTCAACTTTAAAATCAAAATTCTTAATAAGTATTGGGCGTAATTATAAAATTTAAAGTATGTTGTAAAGAGAATTGTAAGAGCTTTCAAAAGAAATATTACTCAACCCCCAATGCCATTTAAATATTTTGGGGTGATGCTTACCCATGCTTGGGGGTGAAAAAATACCAACAAAGAATGTCCCTCTTTAATTTAAAATCGACAGGTCTGAGCGTTTTTCTACAATCTTGACGCAGTTCCTGAAAATGGCTCTGTTTCGTTTTCATTTGGCCACCCTGTATATTGAAACTCCTGCTTTTTCTATTAAACATTTAATTTTTTGCTTTCCCTTCAGGACTTTCTCCCGAAATTGATCTGAAGATGACTTTATAGCTCCCCCTTGCAACATTTATTGCGAAAGTTTTGATTACTGTCACCGCTGTCGACGAGGTTGGGGGTCATCCATAAATTACGTCACACGTAAATGGGGAGGGAGGGTATCACCGAAATGTGACAATGTGTGACAAGGGGCAGGGGGGGGTCAAAAGTTTTGTGACGTCACATGTTAAAATTTAAAATACTAAAACGCGAAATTGAGATGTGAATAAAAAACTATCAAAATCTACGAACTTGATCTATATTTTTATTAATAATTTAGCATTCTCGTTATCTGAAATATTGGACTTTATGTTGATTTTATTAGATTATTTAATAAAAATAAATAAAAAATGAAAATATCTGTTTTCTCTCGATTATTTTTAAATACATGCCTAAATTTAAAAAATGTGTAACGTCACATCAGGAGGGGGGGGGGATTATAAAAATGTGACAACCTGTGACAAGGACGGGGGGAGCGGTTCAAAAGTCCTCAAATTCGTGTGTCGTAATTTATGGATGGCCCCTTGTAAATTGCGCAATCACAAACAAAAACACCTCGTCTCACAATAGTGTCCGATACGATTGCTTTGTTTATAGAGCGACGCGAAGTGAAGATTGAGAAGTTGATGCCAAAGGGTCTCGAGACAATAATATAATGACCTTTCCCTTGTCGCATTGTACACACTTTGTCGTATGAGACAATTTGGGGAAATTTGATATAGTTGTGTTTGCCTGACGAGTTCTTGTTTTCTCTCGGTGTCTCCCTTCTTCGCAGGTCTTTTATTTTATCCCAGCTGTATAAATAGGAGATACCACATATTTGTAGAAGTATTTCCTAAAAGGGAGTGATGATAGATCTTATTCATCAAGTATAAAAGACTTGCGTTTTAAAGAAACATGAATCGTAAAGTAACAGTTTTATTTTTACTTCGTTTTAAATATACAGGGTGTTAAGATAAGTTTTGCCAAAGTTTAATGGCGTTTTCAAATACTTATATGATTCTTTACTGGGAAAAAATATTTAGTGCTAAAATTTGGGGGATGGCATTTTGTTTAGTAGGGACTATTTTTTCATGGATAACTTATTCCAAAATACACTCCAGTGGCGTAGTTATTGGGGGAGTAGGGGACCTTTTCTGATTCTGTATTTAAAATACAAGATATTTAGCTTCATAGACAACATTCCTAACTGATGATATTGAGAGAAACAACCACTCTGCGGACTGAATGCCCCGACCAGCATTGAATTATACCAGCAATATCTAGGAAACACTTATCCATTTATTTGTCTTAGTTTACTATCTTTCAAATAAATTAAAAGTCGACAGCTAATGATAGAAAATATATTTTTCCCAAGTCTATACACAAAGACCAAAACCAAATACAGTCACAGTGGCGTCGCTCTAATCCTTTTATGAAAATTCCTGT